GAAACCTTTGATAGATCTCTGACTGTCTTGAAATGTCTCTCTTGATGTTTGTCAGTGAATCTCAGAGTCCCGGTTAGAGCTGGGCATCTCTCCTGGTTCTGATGAGGCTCTAAGGGCTGGGCTGACTGTTGTCCCAAAGGAGTAGAGGGAATAGAATGTGAATTTGGGGGGAACTCATCAAAACCTTTTGAATGAAAAGTTTAGTCCATTCATGAAGCCCCAAGATAGCTGAATGGAAGCCTCCAGAGATCTTCCCTCCACGTGTCACACCTAATACAACAGCGAGGCACACAAGCAAGCACCTTCAGAAGGACCAACAGTCAGGGGATCGATCACACTACCTGGTTTGAACATTGTATCAAGGAAAGAGGCACTGAAGTGGGCAGAAAAGACAGCCGTGCCTTACCTGTGCCAGCCCTCTCTACCCCTGGCAGCGCCATGCCAGCTTGCCAAGTAGAAGGACAGTCTGTGTGCCCAGGAGAGGGAGAAAGAAAGTGATTGTGGGGCTTTGCATTGAAACTCAGGGCCACCCTGGCCCGGGGGAATGCAGCACAGGGCAGGATTCTGCTGGTTCCCATAGAGGGAGCATCTAGGCCAGCTCAACCGGGGGAAATCCTGACTTCCAAACCTGAGCTCCCATCAGCCCTGCCAATGGCCAACTTAGCAGCCAGCACCAGGACTAAATTTGTAACCCAGTTAGGCCACAGGGACTGCAGTTCTTGGGCAATTCCTATGACCATGATGGCTTAGAGCCAGTGGACTTGTGGTTGCATGTAACCAAGAGTGACACCAGCACTGTGGCTAAGTCACTGCCTATGTCACCCCTCCCCAAACTACAGGCAGTGCAGCCCAGGGATAATCTCCTCCTGAGTCCAGGCCTTAGTCTCTGGAAGACATTTCCTGCACCTACCCAGGCAGGAAAGAAGGGGAGAGCCCAGGCCTGGCAGGATTGAGCACCTGCTGACCAAAGACCCCTGGAGCTTTGAATAACACCAGAGGTAGCTAGGCAACAGTCACAACTGGCTTTTGGTGAGACTGGGTTGGTTTCAGGTGTGACCTACTGCCGGTGGCCACAAGGGACTATGCACATTACTCCTCCCCCAACTCCAGCGTCCCAGCACACACAGAGAGAGCCTTCTCCTAGTGATCCAGGGAATTCTTCTGTGTCTTACCCAAGCTCACTAAGGTGGGACCATCAGAAGTTTCCGCAAGTCACAGAATTTCTGGGCTTGGGACATCCCCAGTGCTGATATAGCTGTAGTGACCAGAGAATTATACAATACTCAATTCCATGTGTGTATCTGGAAAGCCTTCTTAAGATAGATGGGTTCAAATAAGCCCAAACTCTGAAGATTAAAATAAGTACCTAACTCCTCAATGCCCAGACATTGATGAACATCCATAAACATCGAGAATGTCAGGTAGACATGCTCCCACCAGCTGAACTGAATAAGGTACCAGTGAGCTGGTCTGGAGTGATGGAACCAGGTTAGGTTTGACACCTAACAAAAATAGCTGTCCTGAAGGAGCTCAATGAACTTCAAGACAACAGAGAGATGGAATTTAAAAGCCTGTTGGAAAAATTTAACAAAGAGATTGAAATGAAAAATCCAGCAGTAGTTCTGGGGCTGCAGAATTCAGCTGACAAGCTAAGAAGTGTATCAGTTTCTCAAAAGCACAATTGGCCAAGCAGAAGACAGAACTAGTGAGCATGAAGACAGGCTATTTGAAAATATACAGTCAGAAGAGAAAAAAGAAAAAAGGGTAAGGAAGAACAGATCAGCCTTTTGAGGCTATTTTCTAGATCTTGCAGGCATGATCCACCTCTCAGTTGTCAGTATAACTAACTGTACTGACAAGTCATCAGAGCCAAACTGGTACCCTAGGAAAAGAACGCTGCCTCACTGTGCCTTTGTAAGTAGCTTAGAGGGAAGACTATGTGCTTTGGGTCAGAGCAATGAGTCTCTAGAGCCAGCCCAGCTCTTTACGTGAGGGCAGGTTACCCAGCTGAACATCCCAGGAGACCCCCAGACACCCCTGGTCTTCTGCCTGGAAGTTCCCAAGGCAAAGGCCCAGCCACCCTGAGTGGATCAAGGACTGACCCTCAAATCGAGGCACAGGCAAACCGTATAGTCCGGTTTCTGTGGTCTGTCATGAAGTTTCTGGTTAGACTGTGTGGTCACAAACCACCTATGAGGTCTTCTCTGTTGTTCGGTTTTTGGATGAGGCAAAATTGCCCCCAAGCATGACCTAATCCTCAGAATCTATGCATTTGTAGCACTGCACAGTAAAGGGGACATTGCAGATATAATAATCAAGGTTATGGATTCAAAATAGGGAGATTACCCCGGGTTATCTAGATAGGTTAGTCCAGGCTATTTGAATGAGCCCGCAAAGGCAGAGAATATTCTGTGGCTGGAGACAGGGGAGATGGGACAAAGGGTGGGGAAGTAGTTGTCAGGGAAAGTCAAAGCCTTAACTGGCCTTTGCTGGCTTTGAAAATGTAGCCGTGACAAACCAAAGATTACAGGCAGCGTTAGAAGCTGAGAAGGACCCCTGCCAACATTCAGCAAAGACATGAGAAGCTGGATCCAACCTCAGCAGGAACTGAATTCTGCCAACCACCCAAAGGAGCCTGGAGCTCTGGGCATGGTGGCTCACACCCATAATCCTAGCGCTTTGAGAGGCCAAGGCAGGTGGATTGTTTGAGCTCAAGAGTCTGAGACCAGCCTGAGCAAGAGTGAGTCCCCATCTCTACTAAAATTGAAAAACTGAGGCAAGAGGATTACTTGAGCCCAAGAGTTTGATGTTGCTGTGAGCTATAATATCACTGCACTCTACTCAGGGTGACAAAATGAGACTCTGTGTCAAGAAAATAAAAAGGAGCCTGGAAGCAAATTCTGCCCCAGGAGCCACTTGGTAAGAGGCCAGACTGGCCGTGGAGGGAACCCGGCCCAGCCTGCTGACTGCTGGCTATAGACGCAGGAAATCAAACACACGTGTGTCGTTTATGCCTCTAAACATGTGAAGTTGTTATAGCAGCAAAAGAAAACTAATACAGTAAGAGCCGAGCCGCACAAAGAAGAAACGGAGGGGTCCCCACCTACCCCCGACCCCAACACCATGTCAGACAGTGCTGTCGCATCCAGAATTTCACAACAAGGTCCCTCCAATCCTTTCACTTTATCCTCCCAGGAAGGCCAGGAAGTAGCGGAAGAGAGGATTCCTGATTCTGGTCTGCCGGCGAGGAAGTGAGGGAAGTTCATGGTTTGCCTACAGTAGTGCTTCTAGTTCATGGGAGCACAGAGTTAGAGCCCCAAACTCAGGCTCTCAGCCCAGGAACTTCCGGAAACCCCCACAGGAAGGGGGCACACAGTGCCAGCCGGTCTACGCACCTTTCTGTAGATGGCGAATATGGTTCCGATGGAGGCCAGGCAGTCGATGTTGGAAGATCCATCCAGCGGGTCAAAGCAGACCAC